TCAAAGTGATGATCTATTGATTCTGTCATTTGACTGCCAAAAAAACTTAGTATTACCGAAAATTCCTGATCAAATAACATATTACAAAAGGCAACTGTATCTTTACAACTTTACTGTTGTCATAGGATCATCAAAAGCAAAACTTTTAAAAGAAAATATTTATATCCATACATGGCTTGAAACAGAATGTCATAAGGGATCGAATGAAATCGCCTCAGCGGTTTATGACACTTTAAACAAAATCACGATTCCTGAGAATGTGAAAGAGATTAGACTGGTATCAGATGGCTGCACTGGGCAGAACAAAAATAGTATTGTTCTGTTTATGTGCGCTAAATGGATGTTAGAAGCTCCGAGCCACATCGAAAAACTGCAATTGATATTTCCGGTCACTGGCCATTCTTTTTTACCCCCAGATCGAGTTTTCGCCTTGATAGAAAAAAAGATAAAAAAACTTGACACAATAGTCAAGCCTGAAACGTATTATAATATTTTCGAAAACCATGGTACTTTAAAAAAATTGGGACAGGACTGGCATATTCAAAATTGGAAACAGGAGGCCGCAAATGTCATCAAGTCACCAGCCTCACTCCATTTCCAAATCAAGTCATGTAAGCGGTTAATACTGACTCGTTCAAAAAATCTGCAAGTCCTGGTAAGGGGTGAACCAAATTACCAGTCTGATGTGAATAACGCTAAAGGCATCTGCAAAAGGGGGAAGAGGATATCGCACATGTCCCCAGAAAACGTTTGTATAAATAACTTGAAAATAAATCCCGAAAAACTAAAGAATGTTGATGAACTTTTGACAAAACATTTTGGAACGGCGTGGAAGCAAAAAAATGAAGAATTCGAATTGGAATACTATAAGACTGTTATGGATAATCAACAAAGTTTAACACAAGCAGAAGAAAATGCTGATGATAATAGTGTGTGCTTTGCTAATACCGAGTGTAGCTTTGAAGTTGATGTTGTATGATTTTTATTTTCGTTTTTAACAAAAAGGACTTTCTACTTCTCAAGTTGAGTTTTAAGTTGATGTACCCAAAACAGTTTACAAGAAAGAATGTATGATTTTCTTTTTTATTCCTTTTTGTTATCTAATGTTAATATAACAGGAAAGAATTCACACAAACTTCGTTTCAATACCGGGTAAATCCTGAGTTCACATTCAAACACGGGTAGATCCATACCTACCCCCCCTCCCATACTGACATATAAAACAAAAAATATGTTTTATTTTTCAAAAATCCTTTATTGTGCTACATACATTAATATTACGGTATTACTGACTCACAAACTTACATATAGTAAGACTTACAGTTTTTCGCCTTTTTCTTAATATCTTCAATTTTGGATTTAGCCGCTTTTGGAAATAGGGGACTCAGATATGGTTTGAAGTATTCCACAACAAGTACGACTGCTAATAATTCTTTCTCTCTATCTTTCTCTATTGTACTATAATTACATTCTGCTGGATTTAGAGTTCGTGATGCATAGGCAATCGGTCGATCCTGTCCTATTTTTCCTTGAATAAAAATACAACCTATTGAGTAATTTTAGGCATCATTAGTCAAAATAAAGGTCTTTTCAAAATCTGGGTACTGTAAAATAGGTTAGTTGGTTAGAATATTTTTTCAAGTTTCAAAGGCTTTGATAAATTCTGCGGTATGTTCAATTTTGTCTCCTTTCTTAGAACATTTCCTAAGTGGCTAATTTGTCAAAATTTTCGATAAAGCATCTATAAGACCTAGGAAGGATTCGATTTCTTTGACTGTTTTTGAAATTGGGAATTGCGTTATTGCTTGTATCTTTTTGAGATTCGGTTTTACACCATAACAAGTAACTACGTGTCCTAAATATTCAACTTCATTGCGTAAAAATTCATATTTGTCTGTCTGTTGTCTGTCTTCTTCAAAACTAGTGAAAAAAAATATAATATCGTCCATATACACTAGACAAACTTTGCCTTTTAGTCCTTGTAAAACATTATCAACTTCCCTCTGAAATGTACTTGGGGCATTTTTCAAACCGTATGGTAAGCGGGTATGCTCGTAGTGTCCATATTCAACACTAAAAGCGGTTTTTTCGATAGAATTTGAATGCATCCCTACTTAGTAAAATCCGGAATCTAAATCTAAAGTACTGAAGTATTGACATCTACCTAACTTGTCCAATGCATAGTTAATATTAGGTACTGGATATCAATCACTTATTGTTTTTTCGTTGAGCTTTCGCAAATCTGTCCCTAATCTCCATTTTTGTTTCCCACTAGCATCCATATTCTTACTAACTATCCAGATGGGCGAGCTATAAGGACTTTGACTAGGACGTATAATTCCATCGCCTAACATTTCATTTATCTGTCTTCGAACTTCCTCTTTGTGAACAAAAGGATAACGATAATTTTTTGTATGTACTGGAATTTCATCATTAGTTTTTGTTTCATGTTTAATAATATTAGTGAACGGTAACTTTTCATTTTCATTGTAAAATATATTCTTAAACTCATGGCAAAGTTTTAATAAGGCCTGTTCTTCCTCACTGTTCAAATCATCAGTCCTAATTAATTTCGATGCTTCCGGTATGCTTTCGTCATTATATTTTAGTTGACCAATAATATTCTCAATATGAAAAAATTTAAGTTATCACTAACTTCTTTAGAATATTCGATTACGTCTAACGGATTAGAAAAATCCACTGTTATTTGTTCGTCTGAATAGCTATACATTTCTGTATAAGGAAACCATGCATTCGAAATAATCAAGGTCTCGGGGAAATATAAGCCATGTATTTCACCTTCATCTGATTGAAATTCTGGGAATGGTGGTAGATCGGCTTTAAATTGAACTTCTTTTTCTCCTAGGCCTGTCCTTAATCTTGAAACTGAATGGTAAATACGTTCTGGAAAGTATTTTTCTACTAGTCTAGGGCGTATTATCGAATGTGAACGTCCTGTGTCAATGAGTAATTTTAAGGCTGGATTTTGAATTTTGATGTAGGGTAGAGAGCTGTCAAGATCGGAATGGATTTCGATTATGTTTTGTGGGTGCCTTGACCCTCGTAATAAAAACTTGAGCCTGATTCATGATGTGTAAACAAAGAGGCATGTTGAACTTCAAAATTTTGAGTTCTTGAAAATCATTTGGATTTTTGGTTGTTTCGGGTTGTTCGGTTTCGTAACTTTCGTCGTTATGAGTGTCATTTATTTGATATAGTTCTTCCGAAATGAAATTTCTGGGTCCCGAGGGCTGGAAATGATTTTGCCTTTGGGGATAGTTCATTCTGTGAGTATTTCCGGTTGAAACTAACATAGGCTGGGGGAGATTATTCGGTACTGTTCCCCTGGGCTTGAAGACGTTCGTGTTTCTGGGTGGTCCGAAAACTTCTCGATTTGTTGGACAGCGTTTTTGAAAATTATTATTTCGACTTTGGATGTTTATCGGCTGACTTGGGAAATTATTCCGGTTTCTGTCATCTGGAAAGGATTGCGGAGGTCGATAACTTTGTTGAAAATTCGACTGATGAGGTGAAATTTTTGTTAATGAAAATTCTGATTTGGTGCCTGATGACGGTAATTGTTATTATTTGAATTTCCAAGCTATGCCTGCGGTTTGAAATATGAATTTTGTGTGTTACTACATGGAATCTTTAAATGATTTGGGGATTTGAAAATGTTTTGCGAATACTGGAAAGTTTTTTCTTCAATAATGCCATTGCTTCTTCTAAAGACAAAGGATGTTTCAAACGAATAACCGTTTGTAAAGGTCCTGATATTCTGCGTACAAAAGCTCGCATATAGATACCGTGGTACTGCTTCATCATTGCGACTTTTATTTCGGGCGTTGCGTCTGAAATACTCTATTTCTGGGCACGAGTACTCCTTAAAATTTGGAGTCTTTTTCCAAAATCTAAGGGTGACTCATGTGGTGTGGCTAGAAAAAGATCTTGTTCCAAGCATTCTAAACTTCTGTTATCACCAAAACACTGCAATAAAGCATCTTTTATTAAAGGCCAGCTATTTAATTATGTTCTACAGCCAAGTAAAAGTTGAGCTCTACCAACTAATTTATTCTGTACCACTCTCAATAAATATCTCTTGATCGTTTCTTCAGAAATGTTGAATGTGCCGAATAGATAATCACATGATTAAATGAAGCTAGGTAGTGTATTGAAATTACCATCAAAATTTGGTATTGTATCTACAGACATGCGTAACATTTGTAAACTATTCTGGGGATGCCATTTCTTCGGATTCTGGTTGTGAATCAGGATTATTAATTCTTAAGTGATTTCGCTCGCTGATAATGTCTGATAATGACGTAAAATCACAACTATTCAAAATAAGATCTCCTATACAGAGAAATCAATTTGGATGGGGCGAAAAGGAATTTTGGCTCTTACCTTCGACTCCTATCTTCTTGGAAGGCGGCAGGCAGAAGCAAGAGCCAACTTCTCGCTCTTGGGCAGTGGATTCTTCGCCCGTTGCTGTAGATTGAATGCCGAAGGGACGATACCCACGTTTTCACGAAATCAGTCATGATGCCGTGAATTTTCGGAAAACTGCGTTAAATCCTACTGAACTGCGCCAGATATGTTGCCGAAATAGCCGTTCGGGTTTTTAAAAAAAAATATTTTAACTTTACAAGACTGACTACAAATATAGCTTGAAATATTTTACAATGAATAAAATACAATACGACGAATAAGCGAGGAATCTGCGGAAAGCATGAAAAACCTCTAATTATTACTTCGGGCTTTGATACTTTCCTCAGCATTTTCTTCTTCCACGTGCATCTTCTTCTGCGTCATAACTTTGATATTTATAACATAACCTCAAAATAGAGCGCCTTACTCAAGGACAAGAAAAACTACGAACTACTATGAAAATCAAGGAGGCCAGAGTGACTTTGACTAGAGGATATGAAAACTGTTACTACTGCTCGTCCATTCATAGCAGTCACAGTGACGTGGATGATACAGATAACGATCCAAATTTCATGGATAGTTATGCTTCTAGTTCGTCTGGCTGCAGTAGCTGTTCTGGTCCAGAAAAAAGAGAGGAAAACGAGAAAGAAGGGAACTGTATGGCGGAGGGCAAAGAAAACCAAAACAAAAAGGGAAAGAAAACGTCACTTAACCCAGAGAAGTGGAAAAATAGGCAAGTGAAGCGGTTTAGAAATCCTGGAAAAGCTTACACTTCTACATCGAAGTCCAAGAAGCTAATTTCAGAAAGGAACATTTGTGGTCCATGTGGCAATATATGCACATTGAAATGCAAGTCGAATGAAGCAGGTAGACAAAGCATTTTTAAGGGCTATTGCGGCATGTTGGATCTGCAACGACAGCGTGAATACATTGTTGACCATACAAGCGCTATCAAACCAAAATATCGCTATACTACAACTGAAAATCACCGGAACTTAAATTCAGCATTCTACTTTGAAGAAAATGGTGAAAAGATTAGGGTCTATAAGAAGTTGTTCAAAGCAACATTAGATATCAATGATCGGCCGATTAGGACAGATCTGGTGAAAAGAAATGGATCTGGGAATGTTGAAAGTGATATGAGAGGGAAACATGTACATCAAAAGACCGTCGCTCCTGAAGTAAAAGACAGTGTAAGAAAGTTTATAAAAGCGATTCTCAGGATAGAATCACATTACTTAGGAGCTCAAACGACACGAGAGTTTATAGAATGTGGAAAAAGCTTAGCAGATATTTATCGCGATTATAAAGAAGATCAGGAGAGACAACAACTGCCGTATGCAAATTATGTTATGTTTAACAGAATATTTATCACCGAATTCAATATTTCTTTTATGTGACCAAAAAAGATCAATGCGATTTGTGCGAGTCATTTAAAAATGCTGACGATGAGAGGAAGCAACAATTGAAATAATCATCTAATAGAGAAGGAGCTATATCGCATAGAAAAGCAAAATGATAAGGAAAAATCTGACAGTACCCACGCTGCAGTCTACAACCTGCAAGCAGTGATGCAGCTACCAAAATCTCTTACGTCTAAATTTTATTAATCAAGTAAACTAAACTGTTTTAATTTCACTATAAGTGGTCAGTATGCCAAAAACGTGGAATGTTATTTTTGGAACGACACCGAAGGAAATCGTGGTTCAACCGAAATAGGAAGCTGCGTACTGGATTACATAAAAAATGTAACAGAAAAGACATAATGAGGACCTGGACATTTTTTTTATTCCGATAATTGCTGCGGACAGCAAAAAAATAAGTATGTGCTATCCGCTTATGCCTATGCTTTAAAAATTTTAACTACGTAGCATCACCCATAAGTTTCTGGTACAGGGCCATTCACAAAATGAAGGTGAGAAACAAGTCAAGAGACACCTCAACTGCAGTCCTGTTTAGGTACCAGAACAGTATGCAACATTAATTAGAATGGCTAAGAAGACGGGCCCACCATATAATGTTCACGAGCTAACCTATGAAGACTTTTATGATTTAAGATCATTACAAGAGGAATGGGGCAAACATTTCAAAGTAAACAGTGAAGGGCAAAACTGTGAAATGGAATGAGATTAAGGTGTTAAAAGTTGAGAAAGCTAAACCAAGCTCGTTCTATTACAAAACTTCATATGAAGAGAGTCAACTTAAGTCAGTGAACGTGTGTGGGGTCAGACAAAGAGGTAAACCACCTGTGCAAGGTCTGGTACGTGCCTACTCTGAAAAAATACAGCAGCAAGAAGGAGTCCTTAAAAGCACTTCTTTTTCAAGATCGCATCAAGAAGCCTTAAGATGCTTATTATAGGAATATCTTAAGCCTTACATGAGAGTGTATACTGTATGTCTCTTGTTCTCTAGTATGGACAAAGCTTATTATAATATTCAAATTGCTCGTATTTATTATATTACTTGTCGCTGGAATATGGATTTTGAACAACCGTATATATGAAAAGTGACACAACTCAAAATAAAACAACACATTTGTAAAAAGCTTAACAGGAAAAGTGACATAACTCAATTTTTTTCTAAATTAGAATATAATCCTCGAAAACGTCATCAAAATGATATTATGTAACTGATTCACATATAAGGTATTAATTTCGAAAAATTTGTTTGCGTTTAAAAGCCTCTGGCGGTGTTTTGGACTTGCTGTAAAACACATTTTTTGAGTTGTGTCACTTTTGTTATGAGGGTGCGAATTGTAGGAACGACTGACGATACGGCTCTAAATGTATGTACACTATCATGTCTGGTTATGTTTTTTCGCTTGCAGTTGATTGAAAGGTTTCCAACCTTTCTTTGGAAACCATAGCATACAGAACACATCGCTCAAATATCTGGGTCAAACGTTTACGGTGACATTTCAAATAAAATAGCACAGGGTGAAAGAGCAATTAGACCAATAAATTCTATTCTATGGAGTCCTAGAGTGACAAATAAAACAAAGAAACTGATATTGAAAGCTATAGTAGAAAGTATCTGTACCTATGGCTCAGAAATATGGCAGATGACGAAAAGAACTAAAGAGAACTGCATGTCCCTGGAAATGGATTACTGGAGAAGAAGTTGCAGAATGTCCAGACTAGAACATGTTAGGAATGAAAGAGTCAGACAAACTATGGGAGTACTCGTAGACCACAACATATTAGAAACAATAGAAAGGGAATCGCTATCTTCAGCAATGTATCTCTGTACAGTGGAAACTACATGAAACAAACCAGTACGTTTATCGAGAATGGATAGAGGAATCACTCTGTATAAAGTATAAATTTCGGGCTCTAATAACGGGATGCGTAGGACGAATACTATTCTTGTTTTAGTTTGATACGCTTCGAGTTCCATAAGATTAAGGTACTCTGACACTGTTGCCAAATTAACCGGAAGGGCTAAATTATTTCTCGACAAAGTGTGAGAGATTTCTTGAAGAGAATTTACTAAGTCTTGAGGAGTGATAATAGAAGGATGTATTATTTTTAAACGTGCAAAAGTAATTGAATTTAGAATATCATTAATTGTCTCTTCTAGAAACATGTAGCTTTCCATTAATTGTTCTCAAACTTCTAAAAATTGGAATTTAGCTTCATAAAATGCAAGATCGTCTGAGATTTCATAAATTTTGTTTTCAATAACCTTAATATCTTCATTAAATGTAGTTTCATCAATCATAGATTTTTGAATAGTGTTATTAAAATTCTTGATAACCGACATGGTAACAGAAATTTGGTTCTTCATGAGGTTTTCGAGCTCATGTTCATCTTTAGAAATGTTGTTAATACAATCGTTATAGTATTCACCGTCCGATGAATCGAGGTTGCCGGTTATTGCTTTCCATATGATATCTATAGCGTTAATCCAACGACGATGAAAAGACCTAGACATTTACATTCATTCATAAAACGTCTATCTGAACATTGACAAGATAAACAACAGAAAACTATATACAGCTGGAGGAAAATGGCGGACAGTCGTCAACTGCCATGGGCGTATCATAATCGGGGTAATAGAGCTATAGCTAGAAATCGATTTTTGTGGAGTTTTTGGGCACTTCAATGAATGTAAAAGTATTATGCATAATGGAATGGAATAATTTGTCACTCAAATACATTGTTTATGCTAATTATGAATATGCAAGCCGAAATATAGCGTCGAAGTACAATTAAATATAAGTGTACATAAACACAACAAGAAACGGTCAAAACTAGGACTATGAATCAAACCGGACGTCACATGCACTCAGACCAATCATGATAGTGTCGCCAGCAAAGTATTTTTCACCATGACGGCAAATTTGAATAACTGGTCCTGAGGCTTTTGTCAATTCTCCATAAACTTTTCTTTTTTGCAATGGCATGTCAATATCGCCCTCTAAAGAATTCTTACAATTTATACAAGTAACACATTTTTTTAAACAATTCACCACAAACCCTGCAATGTATGAAACAACATCTTCTGTATAAATTGTAAGATTCCATGCAAAAGGTGTGCACTGGTAAAGGGCAAGATCGTTTTTTATTTTTTCTTCAAACTGAAGTAATTCTGGGCTATTTAAAAGATCTTCACCATCGTCCGCCCTGGTTATATGATATCCACTGCCACAAGATAAGATAGTCAAACGCTCTGGGTTATCAACATTTCCTGTGTCTGGGCCAGATATCTCTGTATGCACCAGCAATCGTTTGTATGCAGCTTCAAACTGCCTTGCACTGGGATTATTGTTGTACCCTCCCTTACTACGAATAGCTCCAAAAAAAAGCTCTAAATGATCCTGTGATAATTTATTTGTCAAAATATATTTTAAAACTTTCTTTTCTGCAATACACAAGTTATAAAACTGTTTCAAGCTCTGAATGCAAATCAAAAATCCTAAAAAACCAGTTTTTTGGGGAAAGTGGGCGCTTAAATAAGTACTTTGAAAACCTGTTTCTAGAGTTGAAAATATCAAAAATATCGTTAAATGTTTGAACAAATTTTACGGTACCTGCCACATTAGCAAACGTCGCTAGTTTTAAATCTTTGGATAAATAGGTCAAAGCATCAGCAACACTTCTACTTAAAGTTTGTGTAGCTATTTTGACCCTCATTTTTTCTCTCGTGCACTGTAGATGACGATTTCTTATTTTTGTGCCTAAATGTAAACCTTCGATATTTTGCACATCAACTAACTTCACCAAATAATCCCAACTTATCTGATTGTTTTCAGAATCACCTAAGTATTTGATGGAACCAAAAGCGTTTCTGACTAATTTTATCATGTGGCTTGGGTCTAGGAATATGTATACATTTTGACCCGTTATAGGATGGAGAAAATAAGTCTTCAAGTTTGTTACATCGTTCAGATTTGTCCCTAGACAAGAAGCCATTGTGAAATTTACTGTAGCACCATCGAATGTTAATGATGCTACAGTAACTCCAGAAGTGTGGATGAAGGTTAGGCATTTTTTCACGAGTTCTGCCTTTTCATAACCAGTCAAGCCATCCAACAGAAAGTAACCCACCGGAATTTTCCATGCTCCATTCAAGCATACTAACATAAAAACCAACACCTCCTTTGCTTCTGGTAGAACGTCTGATTCTATGTTAGCCCCAATATCAACATACCCCGTGAACTTACTCCCTGTCCATTCAACTTGTTTCCGAATAGACATCTCATCTAGGACTAAATTACACATAACAGTAGAGTTTTTGGTTGAAGCTTCTCCTTGTTTTAATTTCAAGGCCACAATGGATTCCTCAGTGAAGCCTGGTGAACCATCAATCGACTTATACCATTTGCTTATTGTTGACAGATGGGGTAGAGCAAGGTTAAATGTCTTCCTCACAAAATTGTATGCTCTTGGGGAATAAAAGCTCAGCGTGAGGGCAAATGACCGCAAGGCAGGGTTATATTTCTGGCTAGTACGCCCCCTCAACATTCTTTCAAAGATTTCCAAAGGCATACCAGAAAGAGATGCCTAAAAGAGATATTAAGTATTTAGAATGCAATTAAATCATGTAATCTGAACAGAATGAGTATTTTAAAACTAGTATTAATTACATTTATGCAAGATAAATAACATCAGGAAACTAAGATATTAACACTGAACATACCCATACTCAATTCTATTTCTACCATAACCAGTCTCATGACCTGCTGTGGTTAGATGACGATATGTATACTTGTTGTAACAAGTATTAGTCAAAATAAACAAAATACGAATAAAAAAAGAATATCAAATGCTATAATTAAAAGAAAAAAAATCATGGAGCTATATGTGCAAAAGTGATAAGATGATAATGCTTATTTTCAATGAGCAAGATTACAACTGGTCTTCTGACCAGTTATGGTATGTTGAGTGTTGTGTGTGTGTGTTGTAATGAAAATTATTATATTGAAAAAAAAAGTTGATCAATTGCTCCATTCAAATGAATTCGGGTATCTGGGACACACAGTCTTCATCAATCTGCTTACCTTCAATACAGTTTCAGCTGAATCTGTTATGTGATTCTTCTGCTTCAAAAGTTTCAATAAGCCACTTAGAGTTTTTATTCTTCTCCTCAAAGCAGCAACACTTGTTTGGAGACTTTTTACTTTTTTCCTCAATGTCATTAGGGAACTTTTCATCAACCGATAATTTGACTTTGATTTTCTGGGAGTGGAAAAGTCATCACTTGATAAATCTCCAACATAACGTTTTAGCCTGAAAAGGATAAATGTGTCAACTATATACTTTATTCATTAAATAATATTATATATCATTTCATCTTGATACAAAATAGCTAGTAAGAAACAAGTTCTTGTCTCCCTCAAATACCTTCTTTTACGTGGTGTGCTGACATTTCGTTTGGTGACATTGCCTCTAATTGCCAATTGATACTCCTGTTCAGAAGCAGTTGCAGTACTGGATGATGTGAATGACTGCAAAATTTCTGGAGGCTCTACCATCTTAGAAGCTTCATCAGGAAAAGGAATATGACTTGAGCTAAAATATTTTCTACATGAGTAAATGAAATGGTTTAGATTAAGAGAATACTCACACCACATGGGAAGGCCCTGGTATAGCTAACTCTTCCATTCTCAATCTAAAATAAAAGGTATACATAAAATACTGGACATAACACATGTAAACAACCAAAATCCTTTGACATACACATGATACTATTTAGATAAGTTTTGACAATAATTGTTTGGTAATGTACTTGAATGTATGAATTGCATTTATTAAAGCACACTTGAAGCACACAGGCACTGACTTATTTTACTGTGCCAATCTGTTTATTTTGATAATAATATGTAGTATAAGCTTATTATATGAGAATAGTTCAAGTCCGTATAGAACTCTACTCACCGCTTTCTGACAGGGCTCCCTTGACTGCTATGGGCTTCTGAGCTTGATTCCTTTGATGGAGTAAGTGTCACTGTTGAATCAGAGCTGGAATAATAATGTTTGTTTAAGATACTTATGGATACAATAACAAAGTAAATATTTACAGGGCTAGAGTCTAGAGTAAAGTACAAGTATAATCTTGACACATTTTTAATTCTTCAAACTTTAGATAATAGAAATGCTGAATAAATATTAATCAATATGAATATATAGGGCAAATGTATCTGTATGCTATTAATAGCATGTCAAAAAAACTCAAAAAAGTAACAAACATATTTACCTTGCATACTCCTGCTCATCATGTATGGAGCGAACATCTACTGGTTCAGCACCATCCTTCAAAAGCCTTCTTCCAGCAGAATCATATTCAAAGTCCCTATCATGAAAATGTTTGCTGCATATCAGTGCCACTTTCGGCAACGTTTTCTCCCAGTCAATGCCAAGCAGTGAAATCCATAAAATGCGCTTTGCTGGGTCAGATGGTAGTATAAAATTGTAAACACATGTCTTACACCAATGATCTGTCTAATGATTATAAACTAGTTAGCACAAAAATATAATCAAATCATGGCAAAATCACGTTTACTTAAGTTGCATGAAGATTGTGTATGTGGATATTTTTGTACTTGATGAACTACACCCAGAACATCTTTAAATTGTATCATACTGCTAGTGATGGATATATATTCATATAAACTCGTCAGGAAGCTACAAAAAGTTACTAAAATGATGGTAAAAGACTGTTTTATGATAATTTTTTCAGTAAAATTTGTATTGCCACGCCTATGATATGAAAACATAACCTTACTTACCGATGGAATGATAAATTGGCCGATTCTGGATTACTACTGTTTATCTTGCACACATAACACGATCGCACCATTGTTCAACAGGTAACAGTTCAATATCACTAACAAACTTATGGCAAATAGCACAAAAATAATGATTTGTGAAAATCCACAACTCAAGCATAAAATACGCACTTTATACTATCGTAAAATGTCCATTCATAAGAAAAATGCGACGTTGCCAATGTCGACTGAAGCTCTGTGACTGAAGGAAATCTCTTTCCAATTCGCTAACGGTAAATTCAATACGAAAATAGTTCACTTTTCTACTTTTCACTATTGCTTATGCAGATTTTCAAGAATGTTAACAATTTTATTATTTTCATGAGTCCAAATAGCTGGTTTACACGATGAAATATTTGTTTGAGGTTTGTTTACTACCAGGTTAGGAATTCTATCAGCTAGTAACTGGCAACATTGCAATTCCCTAATATTTATCCTTTCAACGCGTTTTAGTGTAAATAGAAAGGTCTAGGTCTTTTCATCGTCGTTGCGTTAATCAGACCGCGTTTCATCCGCGATGCGCTTACAGTGTCATCGAAGATCGCGTAATATTTAGATTCCAAGGAACGAGAAATTTGATAAAAGAGACTTGTATGAGTTTTAATTTCGCCACTAAATATTTTCATACGATTGGTAGGTTTGTCTACAAGATATGATAAGTGTTCCAGAATATAGTTGTTATCGTCAAGTGCTTTCTTAATGAGTTCTAAGTCTTTATATACAAGGAGTGTCTAAATTTCGTTGGAAATCTTAAGAGGGGCGTCTTCATGAAAATAGGTACCTAAGGTGCTGTTAATCGGTTTGATGTCTATCTGGGCTGTGACAGCCGCAAGAAACAGCAGACTGCACCTGAAAGAGAAACTAAGTCTCAAAACATGGTTTCAGTCTGTCAAAATTAACTTTACTTATTCTATTTGTTTCCGGGTTCTTAAGGAGCGCGGAATTTTCAAAAACTTGAGTAATTTCGAATGGACCATCAAATTTGTTCTGAAGCTTGTTTGAAATTTGAGACTGTTTCACAAAGACTTTATCGCCAACTTTATATGATTGTAAATTGGGTGACACTCTACTATCAAAGCGAATTTTTGCTTTTTGCTTCTGTTCGTCAGTTCTCACGCGGGCAATTTTGTAGTAACATTCGAGTTTATTCCGAATGTCTCGAACATACTTGGACATCAATTCTTTTTCTAAATATACGTGTTCGGGCGGACGACCAGAGGTGTGGCCAAACACGAGCTCGTATGGTGTAAAGCCAGTAGTTTTATTTCTAGTGCTATTGTAGCACTGACCAGCCTAGAGAAGAATATTGAAGGGATGTTCGTCGGGATTTTCGGATACATGGGATCTGATCATTTCCAATAAAGTGGCGTGAAATCGCTTAATCGAGCCATTGGAAAGGGGATGACTGACACTAGAAAAAGTTAATTTAATGTCATAAAGACTACAAAGGTCTTTCATGAGGGCGTTGTCAAATTCTTTTCCGTAATCACAGTGTATTCGGAGAGGTGTACCATAATGTTGGAAATATAAAAGTAGAGTATTTACTACATATTTTGCAGATTTGTCGCCAATTGGATAGGCTTGAGAAAACTTTGTTAGCTCGTCTCGGATTGTGAGAGCGTAGCATTTAGGTGGGACTTCCAAAACGTCAATGTTGATTCTTTCGAACGGGGCTTTAGGGGTTTCAGTTACTACTAAAGGGGCACTGAGGTTTTTATGACAAATTTTGGTATTTTGACAAATTTCACACTTTTTGATGAAATGCTCAACGTCTTTAGTTAAGCCGGGCCAATTATATCGTTCACGAATTCGCCTAATTGTTTCATTAATTCCTCGATGAATGTTTTTCTTACCACAATGGTATTGATCTAAAATGACGGGGACTTCATCAGGACTAGGAGTTTTGGTGTCGTTTTGGCAAACGACAAGTTTGATATTATCATCCGAAAAAATAAAAGAGAAAATTTCTAAAATGGGTAAGTCCAAATTATTTTCAACGTAAATTTGTTGGGACAGGTCGAATACACCTATGTTGGTTAAAATTACAGAGAAAAGATGCTGTATGCAAGTTACGGGATCGTATGGCACAGGAATAATATAGTATTTTCTATCTTTAATTGTTTTGCTAGACGCGATGTTAATTTTATCTGCAGAAAAATTAAGATTTTCCTCGAATATGTATTCGATAATTTTTTCGTGAAGATCAGATAGAGTGTTTTGTCTGAAAAACGTGACGATATGTTTATGACTTTTGACTAGGAGTTGGGAATTTGAAAATTGGATTTTGGAATAATCGATCAGGGATGTGGTTTTGTAAAGGCTTGCAAAGATATCAAATTCATTTTCGGAAAATAGGGTGGAAGGTTTTCCTTCTTCGTCACTATGGGTAAGGGCGTTAACAGTTTTGGGTAATTTGATACGTGATAGGGCATCGGCATTTTTATTAGCCTTGCCTGGGTTGTACACTATTTCATAGTCGTACTCCTCTAGCTTGAGGTGCCATCTTGCTAATCTACTTCCGGTGTCTCGGCAAGAGAAAAGTCACGTAAGGGGTCTATGGTATGTTACAAGTTTAAACTTTCGACCATACAAATAAGGTCTAAAATGTTTTACACTCCAGACAATAGCCAGAAGTTCTCTTTCAATGGTGGAATATCTCGTTTCTGCTTTACAGAGTGTACGAGATGCATAGGCTATCGGGAGATCTTTACCTATGGGACCTTGGGAAAGAACGCCAGATATCGCAAAAGAGCTTGCGTCTGTTGTAAGCACAAAAGGCTCTTCAAAGTTGGGGTAGATCAGTATAGGAGATGTTGTTAAAGCATTTTTTAAAGTATCAAATGACTTAACACATTCGCTATCAAAGTCAAATACTGCGTCTTTCTGTAATAGTCTGGTAAGGGGTTTCGCAATTTTGGCAAAGTTTGGTATAAAGCGTCGGTAGTAACCTGCAAGACCTAAGAAAGATTTTATTTCTTTAGGATTCTTGGGCTGAGGGAAATTTTTTATGCAATCCACTTTATCCGGATTGGGCTTAACGCCATCAGGGGTTATTATATGACCAAAATAGGCTACTTCCTTTCTGAGGAATTCGCACTTATCAGGCTGGATTTTGAAATTCGACTTCCGAAGACGTTTAAAAATTTCGGTAAGCCTACTGATATGTTCTTGGATGGAGGCGGAATAGACAATTATGTTATCCATGTATACAAGACATCTTTCGTTTTGTATACCCATCAAGATGTTGTCCATGGCACGTTGGAACGTGGCAGGAGCGTTTTTGAGACCAAAAGGCATCCTCAAGAATTGGTAATGTCCGTGTTTAACTGAAAATGCAGTTTTAGGAACATCAACTGGATTTATCTCGATTTGATGAAATCCAGATGCCAAGTCCAGTGTACTAAAGTACTGGCATTTCCCTAATTGATCAAGTAGATCGGAAATGTTTGGCAGGGGATATTTATCATCGATGGTGATTTCGTTAAGCTTACGATAGTCAATCACCATACGCCATTTCTGTTTACCAGAGGCGTCCATTTTCTTTGGTACAATCCACACCGCAGAATTCCATGGCGATGTGCTAGGTTCGATAATACCTTGTTTTAGTAATTTTGAAATCTGATCTTTGACTTCTTGCTTGTGGACATAAGGGTATCGGTAGGATTTGGTAAAAATTGGTTTACTGGTAGTGGTATCAATGGAATGCTTAATTTCGTTTGTAAATGACAGGCTATCACCATCTAAATAGAGTATGTCCGAAAAATCTATACAAAGATTCGTAATTAATTCTTTTTCTTCCTCGTTGAGATGATCGAGACGTAATTGATCTCTAATAACATCTCTACGGCTATACTGACTTTGATTTTGTAAAGAAGTGTTGAAACTATTGATAGAAGTTTCGTTAAAGGGCTCGAAAGTTAATTGGGGTAAAATTACATTTTTTGGAATGGCATTACAGTTTAATACTGTAGTAAGGAATTCGCCTTTAGAATCAATTTTAACTATGGAACTGGGTAGACGGACTTTTCCTACCTCACACGCCAGAAGAATGGCTTCAGTATTTCTAAGCTCGGATTTGAGCTTGACAACTTGTTCAACTCTGGGAGGAATGGAAATAACATTTTGAACTTGAGAATTTTCTTTAAATTGCGAAGCTTGGAACTTTTCTTTAAATTGAGAAGCTTTGGAATTATTTTCGTCACCTACTTTGAAAAGAGGGACTGTTTTGAAATTTGTAATCAATTGACGATTTTTCAAATCAATAATACAATCATAATGTTCAAGAAAATCTGACCCAAGAAGGCCATCGAATGAAATATCTAGATCATGGACATAAATTTTGTGATAATCATTGGAAGCAAATGGGACTATGTCAGTCAGTAATACCTCGGATAGAGATATTTTCTGCGACACGATTAGTATAATTTTGACAAGTGTTACGTTTGAAAATGGAGCAACCTGCACCACTGTCAATGAGAATTTTGAATTTTCCAGTAGCATCTTTAATGTAATATAAGTTGTCTGGGCTAACGGGGTGAATAGGCTATTTGACAGTATTGAAAATAAGTTGCGAATTGTGGTGATCCTATTAGATAATAGAATAAGAAAACACATAGTACTTTAATGTACACCTAAATATGTATATTTTTTGGGAAATAATCAAATAAAAATCAGCTATTTTTAAAAATTCGATGGGTCACAGAAACGCCCTGCGATTGGCTGCGACTCTGGTGACGTCACATGCAAGTAAACAAACATCGCGTTGTACGTTTTTGCTGGCTTTCTGTGAGATATTCTATCATAATTCTATTTCGTAAACAGATTTTTATTACTTTCTTGATCAATCTTTCAACTATTGGCATCATTATTCGTTGTGGACTTCAAAATGGACCTAAATTTTGTGCAAGCTGATAACAGCATTCTACCTAAGGTTGACGCATTAATGGTAGCATTTTTCTTCAAAAATAATGCGGACTACTATGCTGCGGAACTCAAACATGTGAAAACAACAATGTAAGTAGTAATAGAAATTATTTATTTATACCTACTAACCTTTATGTATGATCATTAAAAGATTTGTAAAATCAATCTTATTTTAGGTTATGTTGATGTAATGAAAAAAGCTTTCAGTTCAATATGATAATATGGTTCATATATGGTTTCATGAATAAAACATACTTTCATGTTTTGCTTTTGTTTTACAGGTCTGGAAGGGAGTCCTACGGAGACGATGCAACTGGCTATGTGCAGCTGAACCGGGAGCATGGACTTTGCACACTTAAGTGCAAAATGTGCCCAGAGCACAAAGTGAGATCAAAAGCTTATAATGTGACAATGGTTATCAACGAAAATGAAAGCGAGATAATAAGTTGTCAGTGCCATGACTGTGCTGCTTCAGCAGGAGGCTGCAAGCATGCAGTCGCTTTTTTGATGTGGGTACATCGGCGCAGTGAGGAACCTCCATCTACTTCGGTGGAATGTTATTGGAAAAAGCCAACATTGTCAAGAGTAGGGACTACTCTGAAGTACATCACGGTGCAGCAGATGTCGAAAAAGGAAGTACCGCACAGACCAAGTACATCAGCACTTTACACAGACTTTATTTTGCAAGCCAAAAAAGAAACTTCAACACTGTGAATTGATAAAATATCAGGACGATTTTAAACACTCAAATGTTATGCGGTATTCGCTGTACTGTTTCATAATGGACCAACCACCAAAAATTCAAGCAGACGTAGACAATCTTGTAGACATAATGAAGACAACATTCAACAGAGCTGCTATCAGTGCAATTGAAGAAGCAACAAGAATGCAGTACAAGAGCAGCTTGTGGTATGAGATGAGGTATGGCCGTATCACAGCTTCAAAGGCACATGAAGTGAGCGTATGTCATACACCTGATGGTTCATTGGTTGCTACTATAATGGGCGCAAAAATACCAGATACTATTGCAATGAAAAGAGGTAGAAGTTTGGAGCTATCTGTCCGGAAGACAGTTAGTACAACATTGAACAAAAAAATCAGAACATGTGGACTTTATGTATGCCAAGACAATCCCATGCTTGCAGCATCTCCTGATGGTTTATTGAAAGATGCCATTGTTGAAATAAAATGCCCTACCAAAGCAAAAGCTAAGAACAATTATTTAAAAAATGGAATTATTTCAGAGAAATGTAAGGCACGGGTTCAATTACAGATGCATACAACTGGTATGAAAAAATGTTATTTTTGTGTTGCTGATAGCAACTTTGAAGAAACAAAAAATGTAGATATTATTCTAGTGAAGTACGAAGATGATTATGTCAACAACTTAATAAAAAACTTGTATATTTTTTGGAAAAAAAATATATCCTATTTTGTATCGTAGCACTAGTCTGTGATTATCAAATAAAAAACTATGCAGTGCATATTTCTTGTTTTATTATTATTTTATTCATGGTTTTACATCACTTATTTCTTTATTTATAGTAGTAGTAGTAGTAGAAGTATTTATTCAGCCAAGTACAAAACACAAAGTTCAAATGGTATGTCACAAAAGAGGAGATTACATGATAATAATTAAGTATAAAGTATCATAACAGGCAAAAACCCATTATTTAATAAGAGAATCTTGCAAATTTATTAGAGCACATGCAATTATAATGACATGATCAAGTACACGACGTATGTTAGTATTTATCACTGAATGTTGCTTTAAAATATGAAATTCTCTCAAACGCCTTATTACCCTTTCAATATGAATCCGCAAACTAGCTATTATTTTAGTTTGTCGAACTTCAGTTTTTGACAACTTTGCACCAGCATTTACACTGGGTGGCCTTAATAGTTTTAGTCCCTTTTCATGAAGTATTTCAAGGTGTTTGAAGCCTCTGTCAGCTAAGCAACAGGATCCTTGGGGTAATCCATCTAGAAAGTTACAATTTTCTACTATTGTGGCATCGCTGGTTCTGCCCCCAAACCCATGCGAAACATAATTAACTAAACCATTAGGTGTGCAGGATACTAAATACTTCACAGTATTCCCCTTTTTGTACTCTGACCACGTCAATGACTGATGAAGAGCCTTTGATGGTTTTTGTATATCAATCTCTAAACAATCTATGATGCAACTGACATTATGATAGTTATGTCTAAATGAAATAGGAAGATTTTTTTTCCAATTTTTTATCTATTTTACAATGAATGGTCTTAAAACACTAGCTATTATTGGTATATTTTGTAGAAACAATTTACTAGCAATAATTATTCCAAAATTATCCTCCAGTTCAGAAAATGTACTGTTCATTCTAATCTTTTTCAAGCATAGCAAAATGTGTTCTACTTTTATGCTTGTGTGTTTATGTAACAATTTGATTAAGAAATAACATTCTTTTGGAATACCAACATACATCATTGGTTTTTTAGAGATTGAACGCATAGTAATTTTGAGGCACTCTAATTTTTCAATATTCTCATTGGCATCTGTAACATTACTATCAGAGTCGGTAAGCCCTGATGATGATGATGCTGATTTAGTTACAAAAGGTGATAAATGACGACCACTTTCAATACAGGAAATATCACTATCTGACTTTTCATCTTCAAGAAAAACATTTCTCTTGACTTTGACAATTTCAGACTGTGATGGTCGAAGACTGCATGGTTTAATCTTAAAGGGCGAAGTGGAACGAGATGTAGAAACTTTCATTGGTGAGGTAGAAATACTTGAAGTCTGGCATCTTGTTTGCACAGATTTGCTCCTATGATGCACACTCTCTTTTATTGTTACATGCACAGATTTTTCTGCAGTTATGATAGAGTTGGTAATAGTTTCTCTGTCTTGAGTTCTTGATAAACCTGAAAGAACAAAGACTCAAAATTAATGTCTTAATTTCAATGTAAATGATTACGTTAAGGCACTATGAAAAGTTGTCTACTACTTCTTCCATTATCACTGAAGAAAAAGTGCAGTGCTGGATAAGGGGTAGTGAATCACAACATCAACAGCTTGAGAGAAAATTACCCATTACCTGAAGTACAAGTTGAGCATTCTTGATCACCTAGCAAGTAAAATGTCCCACTAAAATGACCTATCACTTTGAATATATCAATTTTAAGCCATAAATATTATTCTGTGAAAATCTCAATGTGCTACAAATATGTCTTTATGATTTTTTTGAAAAATACCCTCAATACCCCTAGGGACAACAGTTACTCACCTTATTCAGTTCTGCCCTTTTTATTCAGAAATAATGGAAGAAGTAGTAGACAAGTGTTTATAAGGCCTCAAATAGGTTACAAAAATGTCTATCAACTCTTAGACTATAATTTATGATAGGACACATGTAATAGATTACATACCTTGAGGTTCAATAATGTCTTGTATCAAACTCTCATCTTTTTGTAAGCTTTCAGCTTGGGCTTCAGTAGCATTTTGACTTTGCAAACATGTGTTGACCAAATCCATTCTTTTCCTCTTGACATATGCTCCTCGAGAAAGTCCAGCATCAGACAGTGGTCTTTTACGATCTTCTTGACAATGAAATTTTGTTGGCACAGCATCTTCTGTCAAAAGTATCTTCTTGCTGAAACCCATTTTGTACTGCATGTAGTTAATGGTGTCTTTTTCCATCTGCAATTCAACATAACTATCACTATCTAATAAGCAAAGTAGGTAAAATGACACAGCATAGAAAATTATTGAGATATGTAGGTAGCTAATATAATCAAAACAACAGAAAACATTTTGAAACCCTACAGAGTAATAAGTTTAGGGTTAATAAACAGGATCTTCAACACTGACTGATCCTCAACATAACCAAAGATACATTTGAGGTTATAGATAGTTATATATTATTTCAATCTTAAAAAAAGCGGTAATTTAAGCTACCTAGTAGATAACATATTCAATTTATACTTACATCGAAGTGATATTCACACATAAATACATTTGAAGTCGATGAAATGCCCTTTGGGTCTCTCCGAGCTGATAGTAACCACTTTTTTCGTCTTTCACAATCGGTTGGAACAGAAACAAACAATGTTTGTGGACTATTTATACACGTATTCATACATTTTGGCATTACACACCATTTATAGACCATTTTATCTATGATTTTATAGCAAAATCAAGCACAATAATGAAATTAACTTCGGCTGACAGCTCGTGATCAGACGTCATCTGCCGGCGCCATCACAGGAATAGCGTTTTTGGTGCGGTTCTAAAAATTCAAACTTTAAATTTGATTTCTATTAAAAATAATATAGATTTTCAGGAAATATTCATGTAGTGTGCTCATTATATATAAAAGAATAATTTAAAATGATTTTGCAAAATTAGTCAAATAGCCTATTGTCGACGGGACTATGAACGGAGGGTTTATATGAACATATGATCGCGTGTGTTGCTGACGCTCGCACACGGTTTCGCGTTCGCGTCCTCGACACTGAAGCCGCGTTTACACGGGTCAAGTAAACGGTCAAGTTACTTGCCTTCGCACTTGCGTGGTTGCATTTTACTTTACTTGATTCACAACTTGATCCGAAAAGCGCGTTTCCACGTGGTCCAGTAGATGTGCAAGCAGACAGTTAAAAACATGGTGGAAATTCGTATCGTCATACGAAATTGTGTTATTAATCTCACAAATATTCTCCTGGAAGAACTGGTAGAAGTTTTGGAGGAAGAGAGAAATCCTGAATAAAGGGTATGGTGTCGAGAATGGCTTACACGGAGAGAAAGTCAAGGAGCTTCCACCGCTTTAATAAGGGAGCTGAGTTCTGAAGATCCTAAAGAATACAGAATGATGCTCAGAATGACTGGTGAAAAACTTGATTTTAGGCTTAATAATATTATGGGAGACGCTATCAAACCAGAAGCAACGTTGTAAGTAACCTGGAATTACCTAGCAACTGGTAATAATTACAGAACCCTTTCTCATCTCTTCCGAGTTTCTAAATCAGCAATATCTATCATGATTTCCATTGCTTGTGAAACTGTGTATAACTGTTTAAAGGATTTTGTAAAGGTATGAGAACAGATAATAATAGAACATTTATAAAATTTTACTTAGGCGTATTAAAAAACAAACAAGTACAGTTGTAACATTTAGTTTGTCAAGTTCCATGCTTGCGAGATAACATTTCCGATACGAGGGATGTCTTTTAAGTTTTGCATATAGAAACATAGTAGGCCGCGCGGATCGTACGTCAGTACTGAATCTTAACCTCACTGCCTAGAAAACTTAATTCAAAGTTTCACAACAGTACGTGCAGTGTTCTCACTACAGTGAATTTTTAAGTGTCACCAAGTCATTAGAAAAATGGGACTGAACCGAGAACATTTTCGCGCCACATTTTATTACAACCTTCAGTGACAATTACCGCAACAAGAATGCCTTGCTGAGTTGTTGTCTGTTTTCCGCAACGAAACGCCACATCAGTCGACAATTTCCCGGTGGTATGGAGAATTCAAATGTGGAGAGGTGAGTCTTAGCAACGATCCCAGGGTGGGTGCACCAAGAACGGCAGTCACCCAGGAAATCGTCGATGCTGTGTGCAAACATATCATTGAAGATAGACATGTGAGATTGAGGCGTCCTTGAAGATCTCAAAGACCTCAATTCAAAAAATTTTACATAAAGAATTAGGAGTAAGAAAATTAGTTTCTCGTTGGATACCCCACCTGTTGACTGAAGAGCAGAAAGCAGCCAAGGTTAATTGGTGTCAAAAAACTCTGGACCGTTTCAATTCCGGAAACTCAAAAAATGTGTACAGCATTGTTAGTGGTGATGAACCGTGGATTTACTGTTATGAACCAGAAAATAAACGACAGTCGGCTGTTTGGGTGTTCCAAGATGAAGAAAAGCCAACAAAAGTCATCCGTTCTCGAAGTGTTTCGAAAAAGATGGTCGCGACATTTGTGTCAAAAGCGGGTCATATTGCAACAATCCCTCGTAATGAGCAAAGAACTGTTACTGCGGATTGTTATGCCACCATTTGTTTGCCAAAAGTCATAAAAAAATCACCCCGAAAGTAGAATCATCCTCCACCAAGACAATGCAAGCTCGCACACAGCCCAGAAAACAAGGCAGTATTTATCGGAAGAAACCGTTGAATTTTTGGACCATCCTCCATATAGACCCGATCTAAGTCCTAACGATTTCTTTATTTTCCCGAAAATTAAAAACACACTGCGTGGTCAAAGGTTCCAGTCACCAGAAGGAGCAGTTGACGCATTCAAAAATGCCGTTTTTTTATTTCCATATGCAAAACTTAATAGACATCCCTCGTAGCAGCATCATCATTTGCAACTGTATCCTCGCTCATGACCGGGTAATTAGTGCTGTATGCAGAAGTTGCAGGAGGTGCATCCCAAGAAAGGTTTGGTGATTGAATTGCTGTTCATGCGGAAGCCTCAGAAGCAGAACTGCTCTTATTTAGCGCATTCAATCGATATTTTTGTATTACTCTTTGAATTTCACCTTGCGCTATGATTGAATCAGCAGGTGGCAAAAATACACTTTTGAGTTACTATGCTTTTAGTTTTCAGCTGTGTAGCTATCCATTATTTCTTCCATTTGTCGGAACCACTTGACAGTTGGAACGTATATATCATCCGGTTTACCTCCTGATTTCTTAGACTTTTAAACCTTCAACGCTTCCTGATTATAGTTTGTTCTCATTATCTTTATTTTTTGCTTTAATTCTGCCACCCCAAAACCTTCCTTTTCCATTCTGCTCACGATGTCCTCTTCAGCTGCTTTTCGCATGTTTTTATTGCGATAATTTACACTACTCTTGTTCCATAAACACTCTTTTTCACTATAGAGTTCAACAAAATGCATGGTTTCTTCTTCTGTCCACTTAATCTTGTACAAATTCAACCTTAATTCTCAATTTGTAGTATAACAAGTCACCAAAATTATTTGCTTATCTGTGATTAACATGGATAAAGAATCTGGAAAAACACAGAGTCCAAATCCACAATCCATGCGCAAAAACTTATTTACTCTTGCATTTTCTGTTTACATTGGTAAAGTAGACGGTCAAGTTGGCGCTCCAGTGAAGTGGGCGTGGCAGTTAAGTAAAGTTACTTGTTCACCGTGCAGAACCACTTGACTTGCCTCGTCACTTGACGCAAGGCTCTACTTTACTCGACCGAAGTTGTTTAGACGATGCAAGTAGAAAAAATACTTGACTTTACTGCTCAACTTGACCGTTTACTTGACCCGTGTAAACCCGGCTTTAAGATTCGCTAAGTTCGCACATACTATCGAGGTACTGTCGTTGGGTTCCGCAGGGGGTTTCTCTTTCAAACACTTGGTCTGAAAATCCTGGAATTGCTGTATGTCCGAATAAGCGTTGTCAACAAATGTATCGGTCGTAACAAAAATCGTTACTGGATTCTCTAAAATCATCGTATGGGGAAGCTGTGTAGGCGGAGTGTTGGGTATCGTCATATTCATTAGCGTAGTCCGTGTTGTATAGGTCTGGTTCACCGTAGTCGGAATAATCGTAAGAATCAGGAGCGACATAATTAATTCGATTGGGAGGATTTTGTCTAAAATTTCTTTGAAAATTAGGGTTTTGGAAATTTGGATTGCTCTGAATTACAGAGGGACTTGGGGCACTCGCGTTAGGCGCATTTGGTCGTATTACAGATGGTCTGGGAGGATATTGATTAGAATTTTGATGGTAGTTAGATGTAGACGGTCTAACTTGCATAGGTTGATTCGGCCTAGGGTAATTTTGAGGCTGGGGCTGGTGAAACTGTCTCGGGGCAAAACTTGTAGACTGTTGTCTCCGTTGGCATTCATTTGCCAAAAGTGACCGGGACGATTACAAAAATTACAAAGTTTAGGGTTTGTTCTTCGATTAACAGAATTTTGATTCGGGTTTGGGGCCCTGGCGATTTTTTGTCGTTCCAAATATGAGAATTGTAACTCTCGTTTGATATACGAAACTACGGTCAAGATATCCGTGGGATGTCCTGATCGCACAACAGGTCCTATTTTTGAGTCTAGCCCTGTTAATAGACAATTTAAACTTATCGTTTCGATGACAGAACTTTGAGCAGATTTTTGCTCGCGATTTAGATTTAGCCTATTCACGGCGGAATGCATTTTGGCTGCATGCGTCTGCAGTCTAGATGCAAAGGTTAGGGGTGATTCGTTGGGGAGTTGGCGCATGTGTTGAGGATCCGCGATTAGAGATGTGAGATCTGGAGCAAATAAAGAATAGTATACAACCAGAGACAAACAGGTACTGTATTTAAGCTTAATATTTCGACCATTGCATGACACATTTCACTGGAACAGGGTTCAAAATTAAAGAGAAATTAAAAAAAATCATTGAATAGATTTTGGTAGTAGTATCTATTTTTGCTTAATTTTTAGCTTTAGTGGGATCTCTCAGACCCATCCCTTGATCATTTTTTTAAAAAAGTATTTGGATTATCATAAATAATTTCATGTTGTTTTGAAATATGCCACTTGCCATGTATGAAAGGTGTTGATTTTTAAAAAAAATCTCAAAAATGCAATTTTTTTGTAGGGGAGGAAGAATCAAAGCTAAAACTAAGCTACTACTGACTTTGAGATTTTATGCAACTGGAAATATGCTGAGAGCTGTGGCAGATTTTGCAGGTGTATCAATAGCATCTGCAAGTCGGATCGTTCGCAAGGTATCAGAAAGCATAGCAGCCTTGCAATCTAATCACATTAAAATGCCAAAATAGCGAGGCAGGAGATGGAAACCACTGCAGCAGAATTTTATAGATTAGCCAGATTTCCAAGAGTTATAGGGACAATAGACTGCACTTTGATTAAGATGGATTCTCCAGGTGGAACTGATGCTGAAATATATAGAACCAGAAAACAGTTTTTTGGAATGAATGTGCAAACAGTTTCAGATGCAACATTGAAAATAAGGGATATTGTAGCACGGTGGCCTGGTTCTTCATATGATGAAACCATTTTCAATAACAGTTCCCTGAAGCAACGTTTTGAGGCTGGTCTATTTAAAGACTATTTATTGATAGGAGATTGTTGTTCTGGTTATCATTTACGTCCATATCTGATGACAAAACTTCAAGATATTAATGTGGAGGCAGAAAATTTATATAATGAATCAATAATTAGGACACGGAATGTGGTAGAGAGGCAATATGGTGTTAGGAAAAGACGATTTCCTATCTTAATATTAGGTATGAGACTTGATCTACATACAATCATGGCAATAATTGTCGCCACAGATGTCCTACATAATATTGCTATAGAAGAGAATGAAGCAATACCTGAAGAGTGGATCGATCATTCTGAAGATGAGGAAATAAATGAACAGGGTAATGTTGGATATGACAATCGCTCAGGCCAGGTTGTTAGACAGATGTTAATAAATGAATACTTCGCCAATTTATAACAAATCTATATTCAATACAACTAATTGTTAAGCATTCTTCGTTTATTTCTATTTCTAATTCTAAATGTTCAAGTTTTTTCTATGTAGTTCCCCTTCCCACTCGTGTTTCTCTGCATCCCTCTTTCTCTTGATCAGAATGTCTTCTTGTTCTAGTCTGCTTTTTTTAATTTCTTCTTCTGCGAATATAATTTTTTTTTCCTAAAATATATTTTTGTTAGTAGAATTCGTCTGTCTAAGTCTTTTTGACATGGGCGTCTTCAACTTCCTTGGTGTGTAATTTCCCCAGCTCTAAAAAAGTATGAAATAAGACTATGTAAAAAGCAGGGCTTGATCATAAGCAAAATATACAATAATATACAAGTGGTCAGCGTTATTCTAAGATTTAATTTAATCCTAGTCTTACAATGCATGAAATAATTTGAAAAACTAAAAACTCTCACAAGTGATATTTACTTACAATACAACTACTGCAGTGCACAATAATTAAGAGCAAAATAATGTTTAGGTAATTAGAGGCTGACTTTACCTCCATTCTTATGAATGTAAATTTCTTTTACCTTTGTAGATAGGTGAAGCATAGCAATAAATTACATGGTGTATTTGCTCAATTATTCTATTATGGAAGAAGCAAGACAAGAGGTGATTACTAAAACATTGTAAATGCCTACCTTTGAAGCTGAGGGTGGTTCAGCGTCATTTAATCCAATTTTTCCATTATCCTCATCGTCGCTTTTTTGTTTAGAGGTAGATTGCTAAAATATTTTCATATTAATAACATTATTGAAATATTTTTTTAATAATGTCTAAGAATATCAAATTGCGATCATTAAAGAAACTTTTATAAATCTTCTGCATCCAAATTTTGTAATAATTTGACAATAATACTTTAAAAATTTAAAAAATATAATTATCCAGTTCATGAAAGCCTGTGCAGCTGTCAAAACCCTTTTCCAACAATTTGGGTCAATTTTTCACAATTACATTATCTGTAATACTATTTATTTCTTTCACTTAAGTAAGTCTGCATGACTATCTACAGTATGCCGATACCTGAATATGCTTGATTGCTATTATATGCCCTTACCACATTTGAGCTAGTGACATTTTCATGTTCAATTACTACTGATGTAACCTAAAATTAACAGATAGGATTAAATTTCAATAAATTCTTATTTACAATCATTACCTCTGGCGCACCAATCAAAGACGGTATTTCTTTATCAAAAAGCAATAGTTGGCTACCTTCTCCTTGGAAAGTTAAGTCTTGTAGAAAAATATATTTTTGAAATGTTTCAAATCTTATTAATGCAAATATTACATAATGAAATATAACTACAGTAAAATTGTACAAGAATGAATTCTAATACCAATTATTAGATTCAACCAATACAATAATTAATTGCTGTATGTATGGATGTGAAAAGTGGATAATGCGAGCATCAGAAATAAAATATTTAAGAAGAGTGAAAGGAATCACAACACAGAATTATATCAGAAAACAATTAAAAATAATGGATGTGGTTGATATGTTGAGCAATGAGCTAAAAATCTACAATATCATACAGGTATGCTGTCGCAATATGTACTGACATAGTACAGATATTATTCATTGCTGGATTAGGAGATCTAGAAAACCTATCATAAATATTGATATCAACTAATATGGTAGTCTTAACATCCAATAAATATCAAGTTATATGATAAATATCTGTGAATCACGGTAATTAATCAAGCATCTAGCATTCACCTTATAAACCATAATGCTATAAATACTTACAGTTATTTGACTATCACTGTCCCATGGAGAATGCAGCCCAACAACAGTCTTTTTATTAATTATCTCTAGAATTGCCTCTAGGACTGGGTCTAGAGGTTCTACCTTCCCTGATCCACCTCCTGTGCCAGTAATGAAACTCCTTTGCTGCGCTGCCACTTTCCTCGCTTTCGCTTTGAGGTTCTCATATTTTGTTTTTAGTTGCTCAACAGATCGGACTGTATTGTTACTGGCACAAAAATACTCTCTAACCTTTTGCCAAGCCTCATTCTAAAACAATACAATTAAATGAGGTAAATATATCAATGATCATGAATATATTTTTACCTTCTCTTGATTATTTACTTTATCCGTAACTTGTGATTCTATAATGTCTTGAAGCTTCGAGACACTACGAACCAGCAGCAGTACCTCCTCCTTGGTGAAATTGCTTCCGCGTGCTCGTTTGCCTTTGTTTAAATCCATGTTGGTAGATATATTCGTAAAACAATAGATAACGCTAGTAAACCGCAAATACACAATCGGTGAAAATATCTGACAATGTGACAATATTGCAGGTTAGGTTAGGTGGCAGCACCCTGAGGTCAGGCATAGAGCGAAAAGTTTTTCTGTGTTTCATGATTGACAAGCCCGATTTGTTGAGGTAAAATTTATTTCAGGGGTACCAACAACAGTTAATCCTTTGTTACTAAATTGACGTTTTGTAAGACATTATGAAATGCCCCGGAATAGAGGCGTTAATTGGAGAATTAACTTAACAGCCCAATTATCTAACAGGCCATTATATATATATATATATATATATTTTGACTTGAGACGTGGTCATTGTCGTCTAGACCAGTTAGGTGAAAAAATTAAAGCTTCCGCCTTTTGTTGGGTACTTCGACAAAATTTAAGCAAAGAGGACTCTTTATACTTTTTTAATTCTCTCTACCTTTCAATGGACTTTGCCATCATCATCAGGAGCTGCAATTACAATGATAACAGTAGCAACAAAAGTGTAAAATGAATTTAAATTGACTCAACTTACAGTAGTATGTGAGGATGTTGCTAATTGTTGTTTACGTATAGGATGAGGGAAACGTCCAGTAACATGGTGAGAGCTGGATAGATGGTACAATGGTCAAAATTATATAAAATATGACAAGAACAAGTTAAAAACAGATTAAAAATTATTTAAAAAAACATTAGAGCATTACATCGTGAAGCCACTTGATGATTGCACAAAATGGTGGTCATGGAATAATGAGTGAGATGAACCCTTTGACAGAAGGCCGAAGGTTGTCAATGTCTGTGTTGAAAGATGGAACGAAATGTGGGCGTGTGCCAAACGTTGACAAATCACTTCAGATGATGTGATTTTCAGAATGTTATCTAAGAAATTGTTAAACCGACCAGAGGCAGTTGAATAAACCATATTTTAATTAATGGAGAAGAGAATCATTAGATTTTGAGTGGAATGAAATTTACTGGTGGAATCGGCCAAAACACAGATTCTATTTATGGTTGTGAAGAGTCGAAATTTGGGGAGATATGTAAGTTCTCCAATTTTTCGCAGTTTAGCAAATATGAGTAAATGACACTCAGTTGTTTAACGTCTGTCTTTTTGTTGATACAGTTGTTATTCATGAAAATGTGGGACATTTCCAGGAATAAACGTTTGGAAAGATGTTTTTCTTTATCAAGAACTGTGATACTTGTGTAATTCATAGAATGCCCTGTTGTGTTAACATGAGATGCTAGAGCGCATCTTTCAGGATGAAGCCTAGCATCACTTTTGTGTGATGTAATCCTTCCTTTAAGAGATCTGGAGGTCTGACCTATGTATATTTGGTTGCAGTTGTTGCAATTGATGGAGTAGCCTGTGTTGGTTAAGCCAAGCAGCGGGACTTTGTCTTTCATTTTTGAAAAAATGCAGTTTATAGTGAGGACGGATTTGCAAGCAATTCGAAAGTTCAAAGGACTGCACAATCTGATCAGCTTAGAGGTCAGTTCCTTGATATAGGGCAGGACAGCAAAACCAGGTCTGGAGTCCGGGTTGGTGCTTGTACTGTTTGGATTGATGCTATTATTGGGAATTACATCATTTCCGTTATTAGGGGTTGTGCGACTATTACCTGCATCACCAGAGTTTGGCAAAATATTGGAAGGTGAACTAAATAAGATCTTGTTAATCAGACACTTCGGATAACCATTATTGATGAACAGTTTTGATAGTTTTCGTAAATTTGAGGTGTGGAAAGTATTATCTGAGATGCTGATTACCCTTGTGTTCATCTGTTTTAACAAATTGATTTTGATCCCTAGCTTATGGTATGACCTAAAATTGAGAAACCGACCTGAGGCCATAGGTTTCTGGTACCAGTCTACCAATAAACTGTTGTTGTTGGTGCGGATGGGTCTTGTGTCTAGAAAGGGGACAGACAGGTTCTCATCTTCTTTTTCAATGGTAAATTGGATGTAGGGGTCATACTGGTTGAATTCACTTTCCTCTGACAATAACCCATGCCCCGACCTTATGGAGGGGAGGCAATAAAATAATGTCATCCTATACAGGTATTGTTTTTATGAAGAAGAAGGGTATAAGGGTAGTGTCGGAATAACAGTAATCAATCAAGCAGATCATATCATCCATGAACATATTTAATTTTCTGCCAAAATTTGGTGATAGAACAGATTTTTCATAGGACAACCAATGGGGTTTTTGAGAATAATATTATTGCTTGTTGAAAGAAAGAAATATTTGTTTATGAACAAGGATGTTATAAATTTTGGTGAAACATTCACCTAGAGATATATGCAGTGGGTGACGTAAAATCCCCTCATTCCCAGGTGGTTTATTAAATAATTCTTGTTCATGCATCCAGGAAGTATATGGTATTGCGATAGCCGGACGATACCCCATCAAGAAACTTTGGCGAAAATATGATCGGCTTGGTAGTGTCACCTGTTGAAACTGACGAGAAAGACTCAAAGCGTCCGTTTTGATAATAGTAATCATAATCCAGTATCTTTCATGACCATTAAATAAAAAAATTTAAGTGCCTCCCCTCCATAGGTCTGGATGGTATTGTCAGAGAATTCAACAGCTATGACCCCTACATCCAATTTACCATTGAAAAAGAAGATGAGAACCTGTCTGTCCCCTTTCTAGACACAAGACTCATCCGCACCAACAACAACAGTTTATTGGTAGACTGGTACCAGAAACCTATGGCCTCAGGTCGGTTTCTCAATTTTAGGTCATACCATAAGCTAGGGATCAAAATCAATTTGTTAAAACAGATGAAAACATGGGTAATCAGCATCTCAGATAATACTTTCCACACCTCAAATTTACGAAAACTATCAAAACTGTTCATCAATAATGGTTATCCGAAGTGTCTGATTAACAAGATCTTATTTAGTTCACCTTCCAATATTTTGCCAAACCCTGGTGATGCAGGTAATAGTCGCACAACCCCTAATAACGGAAATGATGTAATTCCCAATAATAGCATCAATCCAAACAGTACAAGCACCAACCCGGACTCCAGACCTGGTTTTGCTGTCCTGCCCTATATCAAGGAACTGACCCCTAAGCTGATCAGATTGTGCAGTCCTTTGAACTTTCGAATTGCTTGCAAATCCGTCCTCACTATAAACTGCATTTTTTCAAAAATGAAAGACAAAGTCCCGCTGCTTGGCTTAACCAACACAGTCTACTCCATCAATTGCAACAACTGCAACCAAATATACATAGGTCAGACCTCCAGATCTCTTAAAGGAAGGATTACATCACACAAAAGTGATGCTAGGCTTCATCCTGAAAGATGCGCTCTAGCATCTCATGTTAACACAACAGAGCATTCTATGAATTACACAAGTATCAAAGTTCTTGATAAAGAAAAACACCTTTCCAAACGTTTATTCCTGGAAATGTCCCACATTTTCATGAATAACAACTGTATCAACAAAAAGACAGACGTTAAACAACTGAGTGTCATTTACTCATATTTGCTAAACTGCGAAAAATTGGAGAACTTACATATCTCCCCAAATTTAGACTCTTCACAACCATAAATAGAATCTGTGTTTTGGCCGATTCCACCAGTAAATTTCATTCCACTCAAAATCTAATAATTCTCTTCTCACGATTTATTAATAATTGTTAATTTAAATTCCCATTAACTAAAATATAGTTTATTCAACTGCCTCTGGTTGGTTTAACAATTTCTTACATAACATTCTGAAAATCACATCATCTGAAGTGATTTGGCAACGTTTGGCACACGCCCACATTTCGTTCCATCTTTCAACACAGACATTGACAACCTTCGGCCTTCTGTCAAAGGGTTCATCTCACTCATTATTCCATGACCACCATTTTGTGCAATCATCAAGTGGCTTCACGATGTAATGCTCTAATGTTTTTTAAATAATTTTTAATCTGTTTTTAACTTGTTCTTGTCATATTTTATATAATTTTGACCATTGTACCATCTATCCAGCTCTCACCATGTTACTGGACGTTTCCCTCATCATATACGTAAACAACAATTAGCAACATCCTCACATACTACTGTAAGTTGAGTCAATTTAAATTCATTTTACACCTTTGTTGCTACTGTCATCATTGTAATTGCAGCTCCTAGTGATGATGGCTAAGTCCATTGAAAGCTAGAGAGAATTAAAAAAGTATAAAGAGTCCTCTTTGCTTAAATTTTGACGAAGTACCCAACAAAAGGCGGAAGCTTTAATTTTTCACCTATATATATATATATATATATATATATATATATACAGGGTGACTTTGAAGTTGAGTCATTAATTTTCAGATAATGATTGTAGAAGGAAGATAAACCAAAATATGTGTGTAAAAATAAAAAAAAAATAAAAAAAATGTTTTACCTTGTTTTATAAAGTATCCTCCCGACAAGTATTTCAGTGCGGACCTGTATTTGATCATGAGGTCCCCTCTGAGGTCTTAAGTCACCTGATTCACGAGCCCGTTGTACTACATTAACAAAGGCACGAGGGGTTGGTTGCACTCGATTGGGAAACCGATCCGCATAAACATGTGCCATTTTTTATTTCGTTTGAGCCACGCAACAGATACCACCATTCACTGACACTGATTGTATACAAATGAATGAGATACTTGTAAAAACATCGTTCCAAATTCTTTCGCTTTTTTGTTTTCGATGCGATGAACCGATACGGCGGATTATATCCGTTGTCGCCAAACACGACCACATAATATTGTTATTGAGACAGGGCGGTACTCAAACTTCCAAAGGGCTATAACTTTGTTACTTTAATTTTACCAGGAAAATGGTAAAGGAAAAAACATTTCTTTTGATCAGATCTACTCACTGTTAAAATAAATGACTCAACTTCGAAGTCACCCTGTATATATATGGTTGGTTGAAAGGACTCCGAGATTTCGTGAACTGACATGTTTATTTTTATTTTGTTGATACATTTCGCGAGCAACGTCCTTTTTTGTTTTTTCTTCCATCTTGTGATGACCAATCTTGTCTGACTGCAACGTTGCCGCTGTTAGACATATTTCATACAATACATGATTATAATAAAGTGAATCTAGATTCATAGAAACAAAGAACTAACCTATCGCG